GAGAGAGAGAGAGAGAGAGAGAGAGGAAAAAAAGAGGGACCGGTTGTAGGACAGATCGAGAGGGAGGGTGGGCTTTTTTGGACCAAAACCCACAATGTAAACAAGAAGGCATAAAATTTTCAACTATTGAATCTTGGTCATTTTCAATTGAAAGGCCAACCTGAGAGCGAGGCAAAGTGGTCACACTAAATCAACCTGGGATTCCCAGCTTTTCAAGGCAAGGGTTTTTTCAATCTGTAAGAGGAAGAAGCTAAGAGTCACCAATATAAATGATCGCCTGCTGCACCTTTCTTCTCTTATCTTATGGGGCGGGCAAGTTTTCTCTGCCTCGAAGTTCAAGCAAACCTAGGTTGATGTTGACAATGTGTGGGATGGATCTGTTGAGCTTAGTAGCTCAGGATTTGCATCTTCTCCAACAAGGTGCTCATGCAGTAAATGACTATGTTCTGTATTCCGGTTTGAGGCATGGTCAAAAATTAGAATTCTGATTTCGATTTTGCTTCTCTAGATCGCCCAATGGGAGACAGGGCTTTTGCAATCCCGAGGACAAAAGTAAATCAGAATAGGCTTTGAGGGAGAAGGAATCCCCAGCTATTGATTCAGCTACTATTGAATCCAATCTTAGGGCATTAGCGGAATAAAATAAGAGCAGTGGGACTTGAGCCAGTAGGAGATACGGCCCAAATCTTTGGAGCTCTTTAGGAACCTAAGCCATAATCATAATCCCAAAATTCTACTTTTAAACAAATTTTGTCATCTTTAACAAGAGAAGAAAGTGAAGGGGTTGCAGTGCCAGGATGCTCTTAACAAACTTGACTTTATGGCCTTTACTTGCCTTACTTTACTAGCTTTACTGGTCTTGGCCGCTGCTTGTTCCGATCGCAGCATCAAGAGGATAGACTTGAACGTGTCAACTACGGGATCATATGACTTTATCGGGAGCAAGAACTAGACTTCGATGGGTGACACCAATAGCTGCTAGCCTGATACACCTACTAATCTCATAGAGCCCTTAAACTTTACCTTTCTACGGAATTACTCTTTCTCACTGACACTTAGGAGTGAAGTTGAATCACTAACTTCATGTGCCAATTCATGCCCATTTTATGGTGTTTCCTCTACTTAGTCTCCTACTGTTGTCGTCTAGGAAGGGCGGCAAAAAACACGGAAAAACGACCCTTTCTTCTGGCATCTCAAGTAAAGTGGACTGATCCCGATGCAACAGGGTTAGCTAAGGTTCAAGTTTCATATCGATGCCAACGGCATGTTATGTTTAACGACACCTCGAGATATAGTATGACCTTAAGGCACCCCAGAAAATGACTTTCTCTAAGTAGAACTTTTGTGGGTTTCCCCGAGAAGCCAAGAATCCATACGTTTCTGAGTCAACCTGACCGCCCATGCCAACCCAGAATGGAGGGGATGACTGTTCCTCCGGTAAAAGATATAGTTTTAGCCTCTTTCACCATAACAGAAGAAGGAGATCTCGACTATCCTTATCTAGTCAACGTTGGGATCTTGCCTTTTCTTCTTTCTTGTGAGCTACTTGTTATTCATTTGGCAGACTGTGGTGGGGAACCCAAGGAAGAGTCCACTTGCTTGAACATCAAAAAGAGGCATTTATTTGGAGCAGAAACCCAGGAAGGTAAAGGTCGTCCATCCGAAGCTAAGATGGTTCGGCCAAAAGAACATGTGTTAAAACATCTCGAAACGGAACCAGAGTCTTTATCTACATCTCCGCGGGCCTCAGAAACATGAGACTTTATGCGAATCCTACCGGGTTTTGCACCTTTATCATGGTTTGAAACAAATATTTGAATAGGACCAGCCTCAGCAAAAGAGGAAAGCATACCTTGTTCACCATAGTAACAACAGCTTCTAAGATCTCTCCTTTGAATGGTCTGAAAACAACACACTGGTACTTCACGGGGAATGTGACAAACCCTGTCCCATCGCGAATCAGCCCCTTCCCAATGTTTTCTATGCCCGTAATTACAACCACAAACCCATGTTGACCACTGCACAAAAGATGAAAATATACCAACTGCTTTATCCATACCACCATGTAGCAAAAACAGCGAAGAACATTTACCATATACTTGGTTTTTCAAAGTTATAGCACTTGAAAGTTAAACTTGAGCAGGATATGACTGGATTTAATTTTGTGTTTTGGATTGGACTAGTTAAGACTGGACTAGACTTTGAGCCGATTGTTTGATGTTATACCTACTGTGGACTGGACTGGATAAAATATTTTTTGAAATTTTGCAAAACAGAAGGGAAGCAAACGTTAAATTAAAACAAAAGAAAACATCGATTGTATGAAGCTACGAAACTTGAAAGATTCACCACAAGAAAATCTGAACATTTTCGAAAGAAGAAATCAACCCAAAATCGTGAATACCCATGGCACACAACCACACAAACACAACATGAATACCCAGAAAACAAACAAATCAACCCCCGATCGTGAGCCTAAAGAAGACCAAGACGACACTCAAATTTCCCAAAACCAAACCCTATTTGCACAACAAACACTGATTTGAGATCAACAAGAAAACCTCGTATCACACAAATAATGACAAAAAAACAAAAATAATAAGAGAGAATAGGATGAGAACGGCAAATACCAGGAGATTGCGAGATTGGATTTGATAGAATCAAAGATTTTGAGAAGGCATGAGAAAGGAGAAGAGAGGGAGAGTGAGAGGAGAGAGGAGAAGGCAAAACCATAGAACATACGATGTGAAGGAGGCTGAGTGTTATCATGATATCATGAGGGATGATGGTACGCCTTTAATTGGGGGTTGTTCTCGGGCTGTTTCAAAGGATGGACCCAATAACATTGGGCCCATAGGTGAATTGCACGAGAGTAGAGTTTTTTTGGGCCTGAAACTGAAAGTTGGGTTAATTGGTGAAAGAGCTGATAATTCGGGTTCTATTGACTTTGCAGAAAGGACATTTTATCTCTACCCACCAATCGCACTGATTTTTTCACTAGAGTGGATGTGGCTTTTTTCTCAAAATATGGAGCTTCTTCTGCAGGGGGATGGAACAGAAAAAGGGGTGGCTCTCAATTTCAAATTGAACCAGTGGAGTCTGGGGGAGATTCTAAGGCTGGGTCTTTCACCTCAAGGGTTGGAGACGAGAGCGACTCCTTCTGCCTAGATTCGGTCAATTTCGAAGATGAGAAGCAATCTGCGTCGAGCTCAACTGAAAGTATCGACATGTTTTCTGAAGATGAAAACGAGAGGATGGATATTTTTGAGAAGGATCCTGGTCTGCTGGCAAGGATGAACCGAGTAAGGAGCAAGAGGAGGACTGTGCCGCTGACGACACCCAAATGGCGAAACTCTTAAAAGAGCAAAAGCTCAAATATTGTAGACGACAGTCCGATCGTCGTAACAGTGACAAAATCGGAGGGATGAAATCTAGGCGCTTGTCCAAATTGAAAATTTCTTTGGTTCCCCTCAAGAGAAATCTTTTCCATAGGAACGGAGGGAAGACGTTGGATTGTGCTGCTACTGGAGGTATCACTAAGGCAAGGAAATACCGTGGGGAACCCAACGCTTTTTAATGAAGATCATAAGTTGGAATGTTAGGGGGCTTGGAAGCAGGTCTAAGAGGTTGGTGTTGAAAAGTGAGTTAAGGCGTCTTAAGCCTGATATAGTTATTTTGCTCGAATCTAAAAAAATGGTGGTTGATCATAAGCTGGCTGCTACAGTTTGGGGAACAAAATTTAGACAGTGGGTTTTCTCCCCTTCCTGGGGCAGTTCAGGGGTAATTATTGTCCTATGGAATACGCAAACGGTTTCTATGGTAAATTCAGTTCTGGGGGTGTATTCTGTTTCAATCCGAATTGAAGAAAGTGCAGGGAATAGTTGGTGGCTTTATGGTATTTATGGTCCCTGCAAGTAGAGGGACAAGAGAAGTTTCTGGGAAGAGATGGGGGACCTTTACAGTCTGTGTGGAGACAATTGTTGTTTGGGAGGGGATTTTAACGTGGTTAGATTTAATTCTGAGAAATCTAATGGTGGAAGAGAGACAGCGAGTATGCGTGATTTTAATGGTTTCATACAGGAAACCAATCTGCGCGACCCTTGTCTACTAAATGCCTCTTTCACCTGGTCTAATCTCAGAGTGGGAGCTGTATACAGGAGGCTTGACAGATTTTTATTCTCGGCAGGTTGGGAGAATTTATTTCCCTTGGTTTGGCATAAGGCTCTGCCTAGGATTTTTTCTGACCACTGCCCTATTGAGTTGGATACTTCTACGCTAAAATGGGGCCTAGGGCCTTTTCGGTTTGAGAATTCTTGGCTGGAGCATCCGGACATCAAGAGAATCCTTAAAGACTAGTGGAAGGAAGACCAACTCTATGGCTGGGAAGGCTACAAATTTATGAGCAGACTCAAGTTGCTAAAAACTAAGATGAAACAATGGAGTAAGGAGGTGATCGAAGATATGGAGTCTGCTAAGAGGGAGGCTGAAGCTAGATTGGCGGCCATTGATATGCAAGAGGGGCGGGATGGTTTGGACAGTGAGTTGAGAAAAGAGAGGGAGAATCTTCAACTTTTGGTGGGGGACATTATTTATAAAGAAGAAGTGAAATGGAGACAGAGAGGCAAAGTTAAGTGGGCAAGGGATGGAGACGGAAATACCAAGTTTTTTCATATGATGGCCACAGGTCATAGGAAAAGAAACTACATTGAGCGGCTGGAGAAGGAGGATGGTGTTATTATTGAGAATGAAAACGAGATTGAGTCTGAGGCAATTTATTATTTCAAGAACCTTTATAGTAGCAATGACGAAGTGGGGTGGGGAGTGGATGGTCTAAATTGGTGCCCTATTAGCTCCGAGAGAGCAGCTTGGATCGAGAGGCCCTTTGAAGAGGTGGAGGTTCATAATGCTGTGTTCGATTGTGGGAAAGATAAGTCTCCCGGAGCTGATGGGTTCACTTTATTGTTCTTTCAATCTTGCTGGGATAGTATCAAAGGTGATCTTATGAAGGTAATGGAGGATTTCTATAATTCAGGGATTATCAATGCGGTTACTAATGAAACCTTAATCTGTCTAATCCCCAAGAAGAATGATTCAGCCAAGCTTAGGGATTTTAGGCCAATAAGTTTGGTGACGAGCTTATATAAGGTGGTGTCTAAAGTTCTAGCTATAAGACTGAGAGAGGTGCTGGATGATACAATTTCTGCTACTCAGGGAGCTTTCGTGAAAAATAGGCAGATTTTGGATGCGGTTTTAGTAGCTAATGAGGTTGTCCAGGAAGCCATAAAGCTGAATATGTTGGGATTGGTCTTTAAGATTGATTTTGACCATGCTTATGATCATGTAGAATGGAAATTGGTCAACGAGGTAATGGATAAGAAGGGTTTCGATGGGAGATGGAGAAGGTGGATTAGGGACTGTTAACAATCTGTCAATTTTTCTGTCATGATCAATGGCCGGTCGAGGGGCAAATTTACGACGACAAGAGGTGTGAGACAAGGGGATCCTTTATCCCCCTTCTTATTCACTCCAATTATTGATGTTTTGAGTAGGCTAATGGAGAAGTCTCAAGAGCATAATTTGATTCATGGTCTGTTTACTGGGAGGGATAGAGTGGAGGTCTCTCATCTCCAATTCGCTGATGATACTATTTTTCTGATCGGGTATAAAGAGGAGTACAGGTTTAATCTTTCGGACTTACTGCATGTTTTTTGCCTGGTTTCCAACATGAAAATCAATAAATGTAAGTGTTCTCTTGTGGTCATTGGGCGAAGCTCTTCTTACCTCAATCGCCTTGCCGGTGGTTGGGGGTGTGAGGTGGGGGATTGGCCTATGAAGTATTTAGGTCTTCCCCTCGGTGATAATCCAAGAGCGATTGTTTTTTGGGACCCGGTGTTAGAGAAGATTCAAAGGAGACTTCAAAAATGGAAAAGAGCGTTTATTTCAAGAGGGGGTAGGTTAACTTTGATTCAAGCAGTGTTGAGTAGTATTCCTACCTATTATATGTCCTTGTTTAAAATATCGGCCAATCTTGCTAACAAAATGGAGAAGCTTATGAGATCCTTTTTATGGGAAGGTGTGGAGGAAGGAAAGAGGGATCATTTGGTTAGATGGGAGCGGGTGGCTAATTCTAAGGAGGAAGGAGGGCTTGGAGTGGGTTCTTTTGAAGGAAAAGAACGAGGCTTTGCGCGCTAAATGGTTATGGCGTCTCCCTATGGAATCTAATTCCCTGTGGGCTTTGGTGGTCAAAAGCAAGTATGGGTTAGCCACTAATGGGTGGGATACTAATCCAGCTATTACGGTTACCCCTCTTAACCCTTGGAAGGACATTTCAGTGGGTTGTCAAACCTTTTTACAGTGCTGCAGATTCGAGGTGGGAAACGGGAATAGGGTTAGATTTTGGGAGGACAGTTGGGTGAGGGAGTTGGTGTTGAAGGACATTTTTCCGCACTTGTTCGCACTATCTGCAAAGCAGACCTTAAGCATTGACTGGTTTGCTGATCCTCAGGTTTTACCTCATAATTGGGACTTCAGGTTTAGGAGGAATCTGAATGAAAGGGAGACTGCTGTGGTGATTAAGTTGCTGGAAATAATGGAAGGCATCAGATTGTGTGCTACTAAAAGGGATAGGAGAAGATGGGATCTAGAGGATTCTGGATCTTTCACATGGAAGTCTTTTTCAGTCCTTTTTGCGCAACAAGGGGAGGGCAGAGACCTTTTATCCTTTCACTCTTGTGTGGAAGGCCAAGTCTCCCCCTAAGGTCAAAGTCCTTGCTTGCTTGGTGGCGCTTGGGAAAATTAACACGTCGAATCTTGTCCAAAGGAAAAGACCCGTTATGTATCTGTCTCCCCACTAGTGTGTGTTATGTAAGCTGTGTGAGGAGAGTGCGGACCACCTTTTCTTACATTGCCCCTTTTCCTTGAGTCTTTGGTGGATCTTGTGGAGGGAGGTTGGTACTGCTTGGGTTTTTCCGAAAGGGTGCTTTGATTTCCTCTGTTCTGACTTTGTGGATTGGGGATCGGGGAAGCGTGCTTCAACCATATGGGGCTGTTTGGTCCACTCTGTTT